AATTATTTAAAAATATTCCAAATGAATTCAAAACATTTTTCCCTTAAGGTGTGTGCTACTTAGGTGACCGGCACTGTAGCTCCTATATATAATTTCGTCCGATATTAAGTAAATGGTGACCAAACTCCTAATGTTTGTTCGATTGACACGAAATTTTTCACCACGTATCAAATTGGACTAGAATGACGTTATTGCGTTTTGTTGAAATTGGTAGCATGCCAGGCCTGAATCCTCGAATCTGAATCGTTTAGAGTTGGCCATAGATTTTTTTCGGGAAATATATAAAAACATTAAGCAAATTCCCTTAATAGACATTCTTTTGTATTAATGTACAATTTAAAATTCATCTAGTATTTTTTGTACTTTTTGGGACCAATTTAGAATAATTTCATTGAAAATTTTATTTGAAGTGAAGACCCTAATATATCCTGACAATTTTCTTACAAAAAAGTACAAAAAAAAAAACGGATTGATTGTCACTTATAGTACTTTTACATTTACATACTTGATTTCGTTAACCCAGTGGGATTTAATTGTCAATTCTCTTGAATATATGTCAAATAAATCCTCATAAAGTAGGTTAAAAGTTCTAATGTAAATGCCGTTTTACACCTTGTATTTATGTATATTACTAACAAATGGTATGTTCCGGTACTATTTTAATAGTAAAGCTAGTAAGAGAGAAACATTTCAAAATCGCTCTCAAAGTACCATGACACAATAAATACCCAGTGGGAAAAGTGAGAACGTATCACATTGAGAATCGATTTAGTAATACATTATAATCATTACATTATATTATGTATCCGTAATAATCGAGAAAAGAATTTAATTAAACAAAAAGTTGAATTATTAAAGAAGATACATTATATAATGTATCCCAAAGGTAATGAGAAGGTAATTTCAATAGACAAAAATTTAATACCAATTACCTAATCGATAAGGCAATGTAATTTTTCATTTCTATCTTGATTTTTATTGTTTAACAGCCTGTTTTTGTAAAATTCTAAACTAACGAATTCGAGTGACTTACGACAATTGTGTTTCATTTAAAGCCAACACATTTTTTAATGAAATCGGGACAATAAATTACTTTATATATTACTAAGGACGAATAAAATAATATATTATCACTCATCGATTACATTATGCATTATATGGATAGTATAGAGGAATATATTATTTTCGTAGGACATGCAGCGTGTTACGGATAATGCATACTGTAATCAATAAATCATAGTGGCTGTGCATTACCCGTTAGTTTACCATCGATTACTTTTTCCCACTGGGATAGGTAGTCCATTTAGAGCTGCTCAGGGCACATTTAGCGCAGCTGATGTCTTGATTAACTGTCAAAGTGGGTAATTTCTACTTGAATTCCATGTGCAGTGTTGCCAACCATTTGAAATATTATATGGAACAATTTGACAGATAATCGAGACAAAAACAAAGGTTTTTGTTGGTATACATCACCTTATTATTGCATCATGGAGCTGCTGATGTCTCGATTAACTGTCAAAGTGGGTAATTTCTACTTGAATTCGATGTGCAATGTTGCCAACCATGTGAAATATTATAAGGAAAATTTTGACAGAAGATCGAGACAAAAACAAAGATTTTTATTTTGATACATCACCTTATTATTGCATCGTGCAAAGTACATAATAATTTAAATAAAGTTCTGAAACGCAAATCTAGTAAATACGCCTAAATTATTTGGCAATCAGAAGTTTGCATTCCGTTTTACCATTTTTACTCGGCCAAATTTCTTGTGGAAAAAGTTTACAAAGAGAACGCCATTTTGTTTAGACTCTCTATTTGTTAACCAAGGTACAAAATCCTAGCTGTTTAGACTATTAAAATGATATAAATTTGATTTGTCAGCTGTTATTTGTTTACGTATACATACATACACATTTTACTGGTTTCAGAATTTCTGTCGCAATTTTTCAATCAATATTTTCATGATTGTGATAGGAATAGCTCCAAATTAGGTAAAAGATGTATAAAAACATTGATACATGACGGTTAATGTGAGCTCGATTTAACCATTAAATCGTGATAATGCACTTTATCACGATAAAAGTTGTAGTCTGAAGGGAATGAAAAAATAAACATATGACCAGAGAACAGCTGATGGCACTACAAAATCTAAATCTTCCTGATAAGAATAAGTAGATATTCATTAACACAACTATCAAATCACCTCTCACAATTTATTCTGCATTTAGATTTACGAAATCCACTCGATCTCAAATGTCAATTCCATAACGTATACGTCAAATATCATCCACTGGATTTGTGAACATAATTAAGGTGTCGTTATTGACATTTGAGATCGAGTGGTTTTAGTAGTCTGAACATACTCCAACTCTTCTTTTACTGGAATTTTGCGTAAACGGAATAATCGCCCATGTGCTGCATTTGCTCGAATGTGAAACATTTTCCCAAATTTGGTGTGCTCCATTCCGAATTCCCAAAAAAATATTGGGAATATAATTCGAGCACATATAGCCTTGTGGATTGAAAACGAAATGAGATCGTACGTGTTTTTCTGAGCACGTACAAGTTGAAAAAGAACGCTGAAGTAATATTTAACGTGTTTTTACAATATTTATTTAAAAATACTGTATTTACATTAGTTTTTATAGTAAAATTAAAGAAAATAAAAAAAGGGCTCCTCCTGGTCTGCAGCTGTCCACAGTTTGTATATAAAAATATAAAGTAATTAAAGTCATTATTACTAAAAAAGTCAATAAAAATAATTGATTATTTATAGTTAGTGACTGGATCACAAATATTTTTGGAAGGAATCCTAAAAATGGAGGTAATCCACCTAATGAAAGAAGATTAAAGAATAAGAAAAATTTGATACTTTTTTTCATGGAAAAATAATGAAAATAATAAATAAATATGAATACTATAGAAAAAGTTAAAAAAGTATAAAATAAAAAGTATACTAATCAAATATTTCTATTGTATATAAATCATTTGCCACTACCCTCTGAAATCCACCAACAGCCAGGAATCTTAAGGTAGCTGCTAGCTGCAGGCTTTCGGGAATGGTACCCTTGTGTATGAAAGGACCAACTTCTCTCAAAATATCCATAAATGCTTATTTTAACACGTTCCAGTATCATTAGACTTTTTCTGGTAGAAACCAGGGCAATTAATAAGCCAGCAGGCATATTTTTTTCTTAATTTTGTTGTTAAACAAATTGCAAATTCCAATGAAACATATGTTTTTTTATTGGACACATTTCGCAACATATTGAACACAGCTATGCTTTCGAGCCGCACTTTCGCTCGAAATTGAGCACACCATTTTGCACAACATGGGAATTTAAAAAAGTATGGGAATTCAAAAACTCTCGGAACATGTCACATAAATAATTGATCAAACACACTTAATGTAATTATAAGTGTATACATACTTTTGTCAATCAGTGTACTGATAGCTAACTACTCCTACTACATACACAAATATATAGCCACATAGATATATTTTTGCTGTATTGCTAAATCAGAGAATTGTTTTTATTTGCACATACGAGTATTGTATTATTTTGTTGAGAACTTGCGAGATAAGAGAGTATGCATTTGATGACTGGATGACAATTCTATTCGATCGAGACATGCGGCTAGGAACAGACTGACGTTGTTTGTAATTGTTTTCTTTTCGTTTTTTTGCTGAGAATGTGGGTTCGTTCGTTGGTTTGGTTTTATTTAGAATTGAAACATGCAGTTTTATTTTATTTTGTTTTATTAATTCACGCGACAAATGGCCAGTTGGGAATTGAATGCGATTAATCGTATTCAGTTTATACTAGACCAGGGGACAGCGTGTAAACTTGACGGCGGCGCGGCATTGAATTTAGAAAAAAATAAATAAAAAGGAAACAAATACCTCAAATATACATAATTACAAAATAAGTAAAAAAAATATGAAGAAAACAAAGAACGATATAAATGAACATAAAGCTGTGGAACTTTTGACGCCAAGTGAGCGTGAAAGTGAAATATTTCGTAAAATTCCACAAAATGCCGGTGTAAATATTAAATTTACAAATGTTACATATGAAGTGCCAAGTATGAAGAAAGCTAATTGTTCATTAATTATATAATTATGCTAAAGACAAATCGATTTTTTAAATGTATATGTAAAATGTTTACTATAAAATATTTATTTTAAAAAAAATCTATAAAAAATGAGCGGAAAATTGCTAAATTTCACAAATACTGTTAAGCAGCTGTTGTGATACTAAATTTTAAAATTGTGTAAATTGTTTGGTTTGCGATTGCATTAAAAATATATTGATTGGTTTTTTGGATGTTCGACCTACCTCACGACATTACTGTACACCTCTTATCACAATAAATAAATTCAAATGATTTATTTTTAACTGACCCATGAATAATAATATATAAAGATATTTTGAATATTCGAATACATTTATTTTGAAAATGAATATATATTTTATAGCACGTTTACATTATACCGGATTTAGTTTAAATTGTCAATTCCTTAGAATATATGCCAAATAAATCCTTGTAAAGTTAGTTAAGGCTACAAAATCCACTCGATCTCAAATGTGAATTCCATTGCGTATATGTCACGTTAATCCTGTTCACAAATCCAGTGAATTATATTTGACGTATAAGCAACGGAACTGACATTTGAGATCGAGTGGATTTCGTCAATCTAAACGTACCTTAACCATTTAAAACAGTTCTAATGTAAATGCCGTTATATATTGTACCCTTACTGTGACAACAAATTGCTGAACTTTTGCAAAGTGTTTAAAAATCTTTCATAGACTATTTTTTTCTTCAATTGACAGTTTCCAAGCCGATATTGAAAAATGTCAGCGGTGAATTTCGTGCCGGCGAATTATCAGCAATAATGGGTCCATCGGGATGTGGTAAAACAACATTGTTAAATCTATTAGCCGGTTATAGGTAAGTATATATTATTATTGAAATAATTCTGAAATAAGTAATAAAACCAAAACCCAAATGATTTGAGTATTGTAAATGATATACTTAACGGCATTAAATTACAATGAAATTCACATAATTTCGTATGTATTTGAAACCAGTTATTAAATCTTTTGTATGCAAATATAAAATAGGCAATAGGTCTGTTCGATAATCTATTTTTTTGAAAATTCTATTTAATGGTGTGTTTAGACTATAGCTTGAATGGAATTTGCCTCGATTTGCAATACAAATCCGTTCAATATTTCATTTTGCTTGAAATTCTATGCTATTTCGAGATTATTTCAAATACAACACTGTTTTTGCAAAAATTTCCTTACCAAAAAGGCAACGCTTATAATTCAAAATAGTGGCCAACAAAAAATGCCATTAGTTGAAAAGTTATTATTTGTTTAATTATAATGAGTATTAAAGTGCGTTTAGATTTACGAAATCCACTCGATCTCAAATGCCAATTTCATAGCGTATAGGTCAAATCATGATGCAATAATAAGGTGATGTATCACAACAAAAACCTTTGTTTTTGTCTCGATCATCTGTCAATTTTTTCATATCAAATTTCACATGATTGGCAACATTGCACATCGAATTCAAGTAGAAATTACGCACTTTGGCAGTTAATCAAGACATCAGCTGCTCTAAATGGACTACCTATTCATTGTGCCATGTTGTAAAACTACCAACACCTCAAACGCTTTACGTAAACAAATAACAGCTGATTATCAATTTTATATTATATTATCGACTTTCAATTAATCGAATTTTTGTATTGAAAAGTCCATGATTCAATAATAAGGTGATCTATAAAAAACATTTGTTTTTGTCTCGATTATCTGTCAAATGTTTCCTTATAATATTTCAAATGGTTGGCAACACTGCACATCGTATTCAAGTAAAGTCATGATGCAATAATAAGTTGATGTATCACAACAAAAACCTTTGTTTTTGTCTCGATTATCTGTCAAATTTTTCCATATAATATTTCAAAAGGTTGGCAACACTGCACATGGAATTCAAGTAGAAATTACCCACTTTGACAGTTAATCAAGACATCAGCTGCGCTAAATGGACTATCTATTCATTGTGCCATGGAAAAGTCAAAGTGATCTTTAAGGGAATCGACTTTCGACTTTTAAGGGCTAAGCAGAATGCTCGCGTCGAGCCATCCGTTGCGTTATGTGTTATCGAAAATACAACAACCACAAGGAAACGATAACACAAACGCTCGAATTTGTTGTGCGCTGCGCTTCGGAGTTAATATATTTTAACTTTTTGCGTGCGTTAACGCGATAACAAAAAACGCTCAAAGCGAACATTCTGTTTAGCCCTTTAAGGAGTCGACTTTCGATTTTCCTCATAATTACTTGTTTTATTATCACAAAGCCTAAATTACCCAAATGACAAAAATTCTTATAAAACTCACATTTTTAATCCATTTTGCATTAGTCGGTAAATGTCGAAAATTTACGTTGAACAGACAACAAAATGGCGGGTTTAGCCTTTACGGTGATAATTCACTTTATCTCGATTTAATTACAAAATCGAACTGAATTTACCTCGATTTACCATATAAAATATCTTGATTTACTCGACATTATATGATAATTCGATATAATTTCAAATACATTACTATTTTAAAACCAAATTAAATTCAAATAGGTAGCCCATCTGACAATTGGATTAACTGTCAATGTGATGTGCAATATTGCCAAACATGAAAAATATTACTAGATAAAATTTGACAGATGATAGGGTAAAAAACAAATGTTTTTGGTTTGATATATCACCTTAGCTTTGCATTAGGATTTTATGCATAAAATAAATCATATTTCATTTTTCGCTTTTTTAATTATGCGGAAAAATTATGTGGAAATTTTTAAACTAAACACTACCACTTGTTGCGTATGTTTTGTTTATATTTGACAGAATAAGCCACTACCTACATAGTCGATTTTTTGTTATTCACCATGTATGTATTTATTGTAGTATGGACCATGTATGTATTTATTGTAGTATGGAGCAGGGTATTAAATATGTCGTTCCGATCTAATTAAAGTCGTTTGCACCTGTTTTTTGTGAAGATTAATTTGTGTCACCAAGTTCAAAATGCTAATTATCTAGGCGGTTAGATGCAAAAACGAGATACGTGTTCAGACCCTTATTATACTCGTATAAAATATATAATCAATGTGTTGATTTTACCATAATTTTTTCATTTGCAGTTTTCAATAAAAATATAATATATGCAAATATTTACATATAATTGAATGTTACTTTTAATTGAGCGTTCAATAATTAATGGTCTTGTCGTCACATTGTATATTTGTATGCATTTGATAGTACACTCGAAAAAACAGAGTCAATTAATAATGACAACGATCATAGGTCGTTTTTACGCATGTACCACAACGAACTACATTTCATATTTTTATTGATAATTTTATTCTGACATAGGAGACTGATTGATGTATGTCTGTTTAAATGATAAATTTACATTTAAACATAAATCAAAAAAAGGAGTTTTGAAACAAAACAGCATAAAAAGGGACACTTGAAACTATAACCAACAATGTGTATGCAATGAATAGTAATGGTATATTTTTAGCTAAGGTCTGTTCCACGATGCAACAATAAATTGGCAACATTGCACATCGAATTCAAGTAGAAATTACGCCTTTGACAATTAATCGAGACATCAGCTGCGGTAAATTGTCTACCTATTTATTGTGCCATGGTCTGTTCCATAACCTGAAAGAATCTACGTTTTTTACATTTGTGACACATAGTACGTTTGCATTTAGTCAGATTTCTTTAACCCAGTGGGTTTCAATTGTCAATTCCTTTGCATATATGTCAAATAAATCCTCATAGAAAAGTTCGAATGTATATGCCGTTCTACCCTGTATAATTGTACCATGGGTTAACCCGGTAAAAAGTTCTAATGTATATGCAGTTTAAGAGATTACGAACCTAGGTCCTCGGAGCAACACAAATGTTGCCAGACCATTTAACGTTTTGAGCCATCAACACACTTCCAAAGCGGCTGCGCAAAAGCATGTGTATACCATGGAAGCAATTGCAGGTGTGTGGTTTAACTATCCATCGCTACAACTAAAAACTGCTTTAAAAAGGACTGTTACTAGAATGAAGACAAATGTCGAACTTTGACAAAGTTTGAATTTAATTCGCATATGCAAGTTTTGCATCAGGGCGGAATAAATACAAGTTATCAAAGTACGACCTTTGTAAAGCCACAAAGGCCAATATGCCTGATGAGCCGCTTAACCAACGGCGAAACGCGTCGCATAATGCTGGGTACGTAGGTTCTTCTCCTGGCTTTCCTTTTCATTGCAAAATTTAGATCATCAAGCTCGACTCGAAAGAGTATAAATAACCTATTAAAAATTACTTTCAAATGATCACTGCCCTTACAAGGCAAAATTCAAATAACAAAAATTACGAACATATTTAGAAAACAATTTAGTTTTCCAAATCAACTCCATTTGTAAATCGAGGAACCATTCCTAAAACGGAATTTACATTAGAACATTATGCTGATTTAACACTCTCTACAATTTAGATCAACTGCATTTTATAAAATGCATTCAGACTATAGCTTTTAGAGCGAGTTTAGACTACTAAATCAACTCGATCTCAAACGCCAATTCAATAGCGTATACCTCACCTTAATCATGCTCACAAATCCAGTGGATTATATTTGACGTATACGCTAGGGAATTGATATTTGAAATCGAGTGGATTTCGCAAGTCTAAACGTAGTCTTACCGTGATAACATGCATAACCTCAATTTAATTCTAAATTTGATTTGCAAAACTGTCTAAATTGTCTATTCGAAATTGTTATCCTTTGAGTTCTGTAACTTTAATATTGCTGCAGATCTCAAACTTGTTTCCATAATTTTTTCAACATTTTTTCTAAAGTAATACCGACAATAGTGTACAATATCCGACCCGTGTTTACTACTTATGGTATCCACAGGTTATGAACTTGCCCAGTCATCTATTAGCAACAGAGCAACAGCAAAAAATTTAATAATACCTTTTATAGCAACATTTGTCTATTGTTTGTTATTGTTGTTGTTGCAGCTGTTTGTCTTGACATTTTAGCGTGCTCTCTTGACAGCTCTAATGAGACAGCAATTGAAATTCCTATAACATCCAAATGTAATTAAAAACCAAATAATAATAACAATCAAAGTTCAGTTTCAATTGAAATTGAAACTAAACACTCTACTGTTTTGGTAATATGATGCAATTAACTTTAACAATAAAAAAATCATCTCAAACTTGTCTATAAATAACACTTAATACATAGAAGTTATTTTATTGAAATATAAAGTTTTCTCGGGCAATGGCGCCCAACGCTTTTTTGTAATAAATTAAGCTTCATTCTGAACTATGGACCATAACCAATGATTAAATGTCGTAGATGATGCATATTTACAACAAGTCAAGGTAGATATATAAGGTAGCCGCATCAGCGAATTTCTACAACAAACATCGGTTGTTGTATTTTGATATGTCAAAAATATTTTGCCAAAACAAACAGATTGACAAGATTTTTTTACACAAATTCTTGTAGAAAATGTTAATAAAAGTATTGCCAAAAATGATCTTCGAAATTCGGAGAATTTCATTTATAATTTTGTTTTTAAATTTTTTGGTTCAACATTACAACAACATTTTTGACATTTATTTGCACCAACAGCTGGGCCGATGCGGCTACCTTATTAAATATATCTTGCAACAAGTACAACATGACACGTTAATTGTCTTAAGGATAATATATTTAAAACGCAATTTACATTAGAACTTTTTACCGGAATTGACAATTCACACCTACTGGGTTAACGAAATCCGATACAATGTAAACGTAGCATAAAGCATCTTATGGCTATGCCTTCTAAATCGACTGAATTTATAAATCGAAGTACGAAATCCCAGCTGTTTAGACTAGTATTGAAATGGTATAAAGCCAGTCAGCTGATATTTGTTTACATATACATACTTACTTAGCCAGCTTGTGAAATAACATTTGTTTCACAAGCCGAGCTCAAAATAATATTTCCAGGCGCGTCGGTCTTGCGCACAGCTCTTCCAATTTGAACCAATTTGACCATGTTCCGAAATGTTCTCTTCCACTTGTTTTTTCCATCTAATTCATGGCCTTCCCCTTCTGCATGAGCCAGCAGTTAGATCGCTTTAATATGCCTTCTGTGCTGAAGCATCCTCATCCATTCTCACAGCATGACCTAGCCCAAGTAGTCACGGCAGCTCGATACGTGGGACAATGCCGATGTCCGAGAATAGATAGTACAGCTAATGGTTCATTCGACAGCGATATTCACCTTCAACGTAGATCGGTTCATAGATCTGACCTAGCCCAAGTAGTCACTGCAGATCGATACGTGGGACAATGCCGATGTCCGAGAATAGATAGTACAGCTCATGGTTCATTCGACAGCGATATTCACCTTCAACGTAGATCGGTTCATAGATCCTTCGGAAATTTGTTCTCTCAAACACTGCAAGAGCTGCTTTAACTGCTTGCGTAAGTACCCAAGCTTCAGATTCATATAACAGCACGGGTAGTACAGCGCCTTGTAAAATGTGAGTTTTGTCTGGCGAGAGGTGCCTTTGTTCTTGAATTGCTTACTCAGAACATAGTAGCATTTGTTGGTCAACACTATTCATTTCTGAATTTCAAAACTGATGTCATTCGTTTTTATTTATGGCGGTACTAAGGTATATAAAATCTTTGACTACCTCGAAGCTGTAGTTCTCAAGTTGCACAGTTGGTCCGAGTCTAGTGGATGTCTTGCGGGTTGACACCATCAACTTGGTCTTTTCGCCTTTTACTGTCCGGCCCACTTTGGTAGATTCCTTTACAATTTGTTCAAAGATGGCTGTTATTGCTCGCAATGTTCGACCCATTATATTGTTGCCATCGGCGTAGGCGAGTAACTTGTGTTGTTTGGTGTACACAGTGGAATTTCTGTTCATCTTTGCCTCTCGTATGACATTTTCCGGCAGTATATTAAAAAGATCCCACGACAAACTGTCACCTTGTCTGAATCTTCGTTCGGTATTAAAGGGCTTCGATAGGTCCTTCCCAACTTTCGCTGCTGACCTTGTGCCAATTAAAGTTATCCGGCATAGCCGTAATAATTTTGCAGGAATGCCGAACGCAGACATGGCTTTAAACACCTCTGAACGGATAGGGCTTTCGAATGCGGATTTTTAATCGACGAAAAGGTGGAATGTGTCGATGTGTTGTTCGTGGGTCTTTTCCAGGGTTTGGCGCAGAGTGCAAAGCTGGACTATGGTGGATTCGCCAGTCCTGATTGTTATGGTCCAACAATGTCATTGACTTCAGTCGTTCACACAGCACGCTGGATAGCACTTTATATGCGATGCGAAGGAGACTTATTGCTCTATAGTTGCCACATATCGGCATGTCTCCTTTTTTGTGCACGAAACACAGGATGCTGAGGTTCCAATCATTTGAATCATGGGACATGCATTCCTCTAGCCAAATTGTACTAATCAGCTGGTGTATGCTCCTGACCAGCATCTTAGCACCCTTCTTAAATAGTTCGGCTGGTAATCCATCGGCACCTGCTGCTTTATTGTTCTTCAGCCGATTAATTGATACTCTGACCTCATATTGGCTAGGTGGAATACAATCTATACCGACATCTCTTATTAGTTCTGGTTCAAGCTTATATTGCGCACCTTGACAGTTAATCAAGTCATCAGCTACGCTAAATGGACTACTTATTTATTGCGCCATCTGTCAATTTGTTTCTAGTCATATTTCACATGGTTGGCAACATTGCACATCGAATCCAAGTATAAATTACGCACTTTGACAGTTATTCGAGTCATAAGCTGCGCTAAATGGACTATTCATTGCACTTTGACAGTTAATCTAATTGTCAGCTGCGCTATATGGACTACCTATTTATTGTGCCATGGTTGATAATGAGTAGATTTAATTTATATTTCGATTCAGAAATTAAATCAAAACAATGCACATTTTCACGATAAAGGCTAAACGCGTCCTTCAAGATTATTTTTTATATAATGAAGACATATTAAAAATATCCCACATTGTTTAGCATGTCCTGAGCATTCTTTTGTATTCTATTTCTTAAATGTTTCCTTTTTAATTATTTTACAGACTTTCAAAAACATCTGGCAACATTAGCGTGAATGATAGGCCACAAAATCTGCTCGAATTTCATAAAAACTCACGATACATTCTCCAGGAAGACTATATAAGTCCAATGTTTACAATTGGTGAGACTCTAATGTATGCTTCGAAATTTAAAATGGATTCCAATAAAAGAGCACAAGAACGACAACAAATTATCAATGAATATTTGAGAATATTTTTACTCGAAGATAAATCCAATACTAGGATTGCCAATATTTCGGGTGGTGAAAGAAAACGGCTGTGTGTTGCACTGGAATTATTAAATAATCCCTCAGTGCTGTTTGTCGATGAACCCACAACGTAAGTTTGGAAATTAATTGCAAATGTATTTTCTTCTTATTTTTTGTGTTTTTATTATAGTGGTCTCGATGAATTCTCTGCCACTCAGTGCATAACATTACTCAAGAGATTAGCCACAGCGGGACGCACTATAATCTGTTCAATCCACTGTCCATCGGCTAGACTCTTCCAAATGTTCGATAAGGTCTATGTTATGTCAGCTGGCCAATGCATTTATCAGGGATCAGTGGATGGCATAGTTCCGTACTTGCAAAATTTCAATTTGCAATGTCCGATTACCCACAATCCAGCTGATTACAGTAAGTGTTACGCCGAATTAGATTATACTTATGTTTGCACAATTCAAGGTCCCTTAGTTCATAAATAAGTGATAAGCTATTAAAAAAAAGTATCGGAAAATTGTTGTTATTGTTGAAGTCATATAACTGAGGAACAAAGGAAACATTTTATTAAAAATATTTTTGTATTTAGATTTTTATTATTATTTTTTTTTTTCATTTCAGTTATTGAAGTTGCCACAAATTTCCATGGAGACTATCATGATGCCATGGTTAGTGAAATTCAAAATGGAAAAGTTCACAAATGGCATTCCAGTGGTCCAAGTGAACGCAATACCCTTGTTACATCCTCCTTTGATCACACGAATCTCAATACAACGAAGGAAGCGAAAAATACTTGGTGGTCGGAATATTGCATAATATTTAAACGGAATTTACAACAAATGCTGAGAGATAAGGTGTGTTAACCTAACCTTAATTTTGAAAAAAATTTAGTTCTGACAAAATCGGATTATTTAATTAGTTTTTAGAGGAACTTTAGGTTTCAAAAGCTAGGATTTAAAAAAAAAAATATTTTAGTTTTGACAAGCGTGGATTTCTTAAAGAATATTTTGGGTTTGACAAGCGTGGTTTTCTTAAAGAATATTTTAGGTTTGACAAGCGTGGATTTATAAAGAATATTTTAATTTTGTCAAGCGTGGATTTTTAATAAATATTTTAGGTTTGACAAGCGTGGATTTCGTAAAGAAAATTTTAGGTTTGACAAGCGTAGATTTCCTAAAAAATATTTTAGGTTTGACAGGCGTGCATTTCTTCAAGATTATTTTAGGTTTGACGAGCGTGGATTTCTTCAACATATTTTAGGTTTGACAAGCGTGGATTTCTTCAAAAGATTTTAGGTTTGACAAGAGTGGATTTCTTCAAAATATTTTAGGTTTGACAAGCGTGGTTTGCTAACGAATATTTTAGGTTTGACAAGCGTGGATTTCTTAAAGAATGTTTTAGGTTTGACAATCGTGGATTTCTTAAAGAATGTTTTAGGTTTGACAAGCGTGGATTTCTTAAAGAATGTTTTAGGTTTGACAAGCGTGGATTTCTTAAAGAATGTTTTAGGTTTGACAAGCGTGGATTTCTTAAAGAATGTTTTAGGTTTGACAAGCGTGGATTTCTTAAAGAATGTTTTAGGTTTGACAAGCGTGGATTTCTTAAAGAATGTTTTCTAAAGAATTTTAGGTTTGACAAGCGTGGATTTCTTAAAGAATGTTTTAGGTTTGACAAGCGTGGATTTCTTAAAGAATGTTTTCTAAAGAATTTTAGGTTTGACAAGCGTGGATTTCTTAAAGAATGTTTTCTAAAGAATTTTAGGTTTGACAAGCGTGGAATATTTAAAGAATATTTTCTAAAGAATTTTAGGTTTGACAAGCGTGGAATATTTAAAGAATATTTTCTAAGGAATTTTAGGCTTGAAAAGCATGGATTTTTTCAAGAATATTTTCCAAGGAATTTTAGGTTTGCAGAGCATGGATTTCTTCAGAATATTTTCCAAGGAATTTTAGGTTTGAGAAGGGTGGAATTTTTAAAGAATATTTTCTAAGGAATTTTAGATTTGACAAGCGTGAATTTTTAAAGAATATTTTAGGAAGAATTTTGGGTTTGACAAGAGTGGATTTTTAAAGAATATTTTAGGAAGAATTGTAGCTTTGGCAAGTGTGGATTTCTAAAGAATATTTTAGGAAGAATTTTGGGTTTGACAAGCGTGGATTTTTAAAGAATATTTTAGGAAGAATTTTGGGTTTGACAAGCATGGATTTGTAAAGAGTATTTTAGGAAGAATTTTGGGTTTGACAAGTGTGGATTTTTCAAGAATATTTTCTGAAGAATTTTAGCTTTGGCAAGTGTGGATTTCTAAAGAATATTTTAGGAAGAATTTTGGGTTTGACAAGCGTGGATTTTTAAAGAATATTTTCTGAAGAATTTTGGGTTTGACAAGCGTGGATTTTTAAAGAATATTTTCTGAAGAATTTTAGGTTGACAAGTGTGGATTTTTCAAGAATATTTTAGGAAGAATTTCAAGTCTGAAAATTTTGGATTTTTATAGAATATTTTCTTAGGAATTCTTGGGAGATTTTCAGACCATAAATTCCCATTTGTAATATATGTATAATAATACACATTTGTTGTATAATAATTTATATAATTTTTTTTCTTTCAGACTAATATGAAACTTATGGTGTATACAAATATCTTCCTGTCTACAATTATGGGTATTGCATTCAGCCAAGTCGGCAATCACGGTTATTTAGGTTCCTTTAATTATAATTTTGTGGTCCTAACAATAGTTCAATTTGTGTTTTTATCTATGGCACCAATGCTGTCATACGGTAAGTGACCCCAAAAAATATTTGTCATATAACGGAAAGTGATTTGTTACTCAAATAAGATCATGATCTTTATAGAAGGTCTCATGAACGTCTCCGTATAAAGATTTAAATTTTTTGGTATTGTATTTGGTTTTATATATTTACAGTTCCACAAGAAATTTTATATCTGCGGCGAGAACATTTCAATCAATGGTATCGTCTCAGTAGCTATTTTATGGCCCTGGTGACATGCCAATTTGTCATGTGGACCTTCTCTTCAGTGCTGGGATCAACGATTATGTATTTTCTGAGTGGTCAACCAAGACAGATGTTTCGGTATTTGCTATTTATTGGCATTACACTGCTCACATCATTGACAGGTTCCAGTTTTGGTATTTTAGTGGGATCCAGGCTAAGATTATTGGTAAAACTTTAGATCAATATTAAAAAAAAAATAAATGATAAGTATGTTTTTTTTTCAGAATGCCCTATTTATGGGTCCAAATATGTGTGCCATTTGGATAATGTTTGCCAATTATGCCGTTGATCGTCCGCACTTTCATCCCCTGGAAACATTTTTGATGTACACCAGTTTTATGCGTCACTCAGTCGAGGGCCTAATGATAACACTGTTCGGTTATAATCGTGCCGATTTACCTTGTCCCGAAAAGTATATATTTTGTGCGAATAAGAAACCCTATTTTATTATGAAATTAACCGGGAATTTGAATGCAAATTATTTAAGTTCGATATTATTTTTATTGGGTTTTTATTTATTGTTTACTCTGTTGGCTTGGGTGATTTTGAAATGTCGTTTTTCGACCATGGAATTTTTGACACGAAATCGTCTTTATCGTTATTTGAAATATTTACAAAGGAGATATAGTTAAACTTAAGTTTGTGATATTATTATTATGTGGGAAAAAAGTTTTATAATAAAATTTAGATAATAAATACTTTTAGAACATTACATTTACTTTTAGAACATTAATTTTAAACCAGTGAGCGGAGCAGTATAGTCGGACGGCGCCGACTATACGATAAACTACACAACTACCACGTAACTCCATCTTTCTGCGGATATTTATTTCGAGCCTGGGCTATCGTGATATTTACACTCTTTTGACCGATTAGAGATCAACAGCACCTCTTCCTTACACTGACATATTTTTCTAATATTCAGTACAGCCCTGCTAATTACTTATCCAAATTTCCTTCACCTTGGGTTGTGTTGTGATGTTCGGCTTGTGGCCTATAAATCGCCTTGAAAATTAAAAAAAATATTTTTCGGTCACTTCATCCCAATTTTGTTATGTGATCATCAGCGAAAATTATTGGCTTTGTCCTTGACACAACTGGAACCTCAAGGAACATTTCAAAGCGATCAGCGCTATATTTCCGCCCTCTACTGTGGTAATGGTTTATTAAATAATATTTTAATACGTACGCACCTGTAAATATTTACGTGTAACTCCCACATCCGAGTACATACGACAATATAATTGGTATCAATTTAAAGGCCAACCACTCCTCTCGGATATACTATCAACGCTATAGAAAACAAATTTTGTCATTTTTCACACAAAAGTTAGGGTCCATTTGACCCGCTAAATATTGACCGATCTTTATTAAAACAGGCATGCTTATTCTTTGGTCCCCTTCTCCATGTAAAAATTCGAGAGGTTTGGGCCAGAATTGCGGCCTCTGGAGCGACCAGAAAAACCGACAAAATTTAAGTATTTGGTCCATTTCATCCCCTAAATATTAACCAAAAACAATAGGGGTCTTCATTGGGCCGAACCCATCGTACATGCAAAATTTCGTGAAGATTGGTCCATAATTGTGGCCTGTATCGTGTTTACAAATTATAATGGACAGACGGACGGACACACATGTCTAATGACTTAGCTAGCCGATATATGACGATCGGTATACTTGAAGTTGGGCCTAGGACCAATATTCACAAACTCTTGGGACTGCACAATGCTATAATACCCTGACAACATAGTTGTGTAGGGTATTAAAATATGTCACATAATGTATTATTCTTTGTCCAGAATTGATCAACGCTAGTATAGTAAAATACTGTCTAAAATACCTGACAGGAAGCTCATGGGGCAAAGATAAAGAAACATTCATATTGACATACAAAATTTCGTCCGATTTTCCAATAGTGCAATTATGATGCAATAATAAGGTGATGTATCAAAACAAAATCCTTTGTTTTTGTCTCGAACATCTGTCAATTTTTTCCTTATAATATTTCACATGGTTGGCAACATTGCCCATCGAATTCAAGTAAAAATTACGCACTTTGCCAGTTACCTATTTATTGTGCCATGAGTGCAAGAAAGATCCAATGTTTAATGCCCGATTTAGATTAATCAATAATGGTGTTTTTACACGATATGTATTTTACATATGTGCTGTCACTTATTTCATCCATATGTAGTTTCTTATGTGTGTCAAAATTAGCAGTGTACACAAAACATTTATTTTTGTGTTCAAATCGGCAAATGTATTTTACATATGACATAACCTATAAACCAAAAAACACTTTTATTTTTTCTTTTTTTATTAAACACCTACAAACGAAATAATAATTTGTAATTGTTGCCTTTTCATCCTTTTTTTTTTTGAATTGCAATTGTGTTTCATTCAAACAGCTGATTTCCTTATGTTTCGCATAGGAAAATAGAGCGCGTCCTATTCGGAAAAAATACATATGTAATTGCATATCGTTTTGACACTTTGAAATTTCCGTATGTTTCACATGACGAGTTCGATTTCCATATGTAAAAAAGTGACAGCACATATGTAAAATACTTATCGTGTAGAAACACCATAAGTAATAATATTATTATAGTATGTTTACATAGTACCGTTTTTTTTTAAATCCGGTGGATCTAAATTGTCAATTCCATTTTAAAATGGCAAGAATTAACATAAATTAACTTTTTATGGATAATTGCAAAATAACAACAAGTATTTTATAATGTAAAAATATAGTGTTCTTTATTATACCAGTGTAAAAATGACATAATCACGTATCTCATTAATTATCTAGATCCCTAGATATAATTGTAGTAATTATCATTTGTAATTAGGTGACACAAATTAATATTCAGAAATATAAACAAACCTAGATTGACCTCAAATCGATTAACTAAACTCTAAAATCGTTATTTATTTTACATACATATATACAAAGGAAATTACAACTTAAAATCGCAATTAAATAATGATTTGTCATAAAACATGTTAGATGTAATTGTATTCCCCATATACTTACTGATCATTGTACAATAAATAAGTAGTCCATTTAGCGCACTATTCGGTTAACTGTCAAAGTGCGTAGTTTCTACTTGAATTCTATGTGCAATGTTGCCAACCATTTGAAATATTACTAGAAACAATTTGACAGATGGTCGGTAGAAAAACAAATATTTTTCTTTTGATACATTATCTTATTATTGTTTCATGATACTGGTATAAACAATAAATAATAATGATGCAATAATAAGGTGATATATCAAAATAAAAATGTCTGTTTTTATTCGATTATCTGTCAAATTTTATCTTGTAACATTTGTCATGTTTGGCAACATTGTATATCGAATTCATGGCATATTAATTAGGTCAACCATCTGGATATCAGGTGTTTCTCAGATTTGCTGGGATTAGAGAAAACAACTGACGATAGCACAATAAATAGGTAGTCCATTTAGCGCAGCTGATGTCTCGATTAACTGTCAAAGTGCGTAACTTCTACTTGAATTCGATGTGCAATGTTGCCAACCATGTGAAATATTATAAGGAAAATTTGACAAATGGCCGAGACAAAAACAAAGGTTTTTGTTGTGATACATCACCTTATTATTGCATCATGAATTGTACCATAGAAGAAATATTTAGGTTGGCAAGGCTTGAATAAAAAATCGGGTAATCACTGTTATTTAGATTCCTTTAATTATAATTTTGTGGTCCTAACAATAGTTCAATTTGTGTTTTTATCCATGGTACCAATGTTGTCATACGCATGGGCTATAAAATGAATTTCTTATATAGAATAGAAGAAGAATATGTAGTCCTCTTTAAAAGAGACCATATATTCTAGCAAAAACATCATAACGTTTTTTAATAAAGGACCTTATGGCCTTCTTTGTCCTAGTCATATTCGATCGTAAATTTTATATCTTCCGGACCTTCAACAAATGTTTCATTATTTACTATAGATTACACTGTTTACATCACTGATATAAGGTTCATAAAACGCAATATACATTAGAACTTTTTACTGGGTTAACCTACTTTATGAGGATTTATTTGGCATATATGAAAAGAAATTGACAATTGAAACCTACTGGGTTAACGAAATCCGGTTAAATGTAAACGTACTATAACAGTTCCGTTCCAGAACCTAAAAGAATCTACTTATTTTACATGTTTTGCAACTTTTTACACGAAAACCGTTCCTCAATCCACAAAACTGGTAAATCATTGACATTGACAAATTTAAGAGAGCCCAAAACAAAATGGCGTTCTCTTTGTAAACTTTTTACTCGATAAATTTGGTCGAGTAAAAATGGTAAACAGGAATGCCAACTTCCGATTGGCTGTTATGTTGATTTTGAAGTATTGCCATCTAATTATGGCATATTTACTAGATTTGCGTTCCCAAACTTTTCAAATTATTTTGTACTCTGAGAGCAATTTTGAAATGTTTCCTTTTACTAGATTTACTATTAAAAAAGTACTGGAGCAGACCATCAGTAAACTGAAAAAGTTTTCAAACAAATATATTGAACTATTTAAACAAATTCGTGCAATGACAGTTTTTTTTTGTTTGAAGCTACCGTTTTTTTACTGGAAAAAACTGTTTATTTTTTTTTAATGGAATAAACTGTCATGGCGCAAATATTTTCCCCCGAAGCTAATTTTAAATGTCAAAACTTCAAAAAATCCATGTGAAAAAAACTTAACTATGTAGATGTTGGTAACTTTATTTATAATCCTATTCGATTTTATAGCATACTTTTAGGCTTCAGATTTAAGAAATACACCGACAAGCAAAAGTTTCCTCCACCATGAATATTCCTCCACATTGAATATTAGTGGAGAAAAGAAAAAAAAACAATTTAAAATTGTATTTCCGCATTTGGCTATTATAATAATATGTTGTTATATCTCATCACACATGTAGATCTGATCAATTGGAAGATTTTGCCGGCGAGGATTTAATTTATAAAGGTATATCAGAGTAAAACTTAATTTTGGACACCGTTCTCCTTCATTCTTTGACAATTAAAGAAGTCAACAAAATGGGTCTCATGCATAAAACGTGAGCTTGAGCTCGGACTCGATTTTTTCTCTTCAGTACTGGTGCTTGTCGTATGCATAATAAAATCTGATGTATTTGCTTTTACTCACTGCTCACGTTTGATCTCTTCTTGCTCAGTTTGAACTTAGAAATCGAAGTTGGATGAGATTGTTCTCATTTCCTTATGCATAAAAACAAGATTTCGCTTACTTTTGTGAGCTCTTGCTTAACTATTGTTGAGCATGCCTTTTAGTTGACTCGCGTACACTAAGAAGAAATCATGGTTGAATATTTTGTACAACAAATAAATAAAAAATGTTATCAACAGCGTGAGACAAATTTAGCAAGCG